AAAGACCTCCTTAAAGTGTTAAAAAGCCAAGATGTCACTTTGAAGTTTAAAGTATCAGTCTTTTCATATGCATGTGAAAGCTGGCCAATGAATATGGAAGACCACAGCAGAATTTATACCTTTGAATTCTGGTATTTGCGAAGACCATTAAATATGCAGCCTGAAGAAAAAAATCTTCGAAGAAATGTAGCCTGAATGATCCTTAGAAGTGAGGAGGCTGAACCTTTGTCTCCTGTACTTGGGGCATGTCATCAGGAGAAACAAGTCTCTAGAGAAGGACATCATACTTGGTAAAGTATAGAAGTTCCACATAAAAAGGAGACCGTAATGTTTTGGATTGATACAGTGACTACAACGATGGGGTCAAGCCGAGCAGTGATGGTGAGCACTGTGCAGGACCAGACAGTGTTTCCTGCTGTGTGTGTTTGCCACGAGGAAGAGCTTGCTTGTTGGCACCTTTAAAGAATGACACTATCCCTTGTAGAAAAGTAGTTCTGACATAAATTAATTTTTGATTACTCTAGTGAAGTTAGTCATATTTGCCAATTCCACTTAATTATGGTTCAGGAATTTTACATGAATTAAGTGATTTCAACAAATATTGATCACTTACTAAGTTGATGTAGATATGTGGAACAATCACTGGTAATAGAAAAAAATTGAATGCCGCTGAAATATCTGTGTTAGAGACTCATTATGATACTTAAATTTTATGGAACAATATGTAACTATTAAGAAAGAATGAGACAGAAAATCCATCTCCGGTACATGGCCTCTACTCATCCAGGATGGAAGAGAAAGAATAGGGTAGGTGTAGTCCGTGGTAGAGCATTTGAATGCAGAATGAAAGAGAAAGACGAAAAGCCGAGACTTAGAAGAAACTAGGCTATGAGAGTAAGACCCAAAGAACTAGATGATACTCAGCTACCTCTGCTGGTCATTCAAATGGATCCTGATAGAATGAAAGAATATTATGGAATAAAACCTCAAATTATTCACAAATTCAATTTTATTGAGAGTAGCAGATGCTTTTAAACAATTCCCCTAATGTAGTCTTTTATTCTTCATCTGAAACTGTCTCCCAAGGTCTCCTTTTAGTCAGCAGTTCTCAATCTGTGGGTCGCAACCCTTTGGGGGGTCGAACGACCCTTTCACAAATGAACATAATTTTATGGTTTGGGTGGGGTGACCACAACATGAGGAGCTGTATGAAAAGGAAGCTGCATTAGGAAGGTTGAGAACCACTGTTTTAGCTAAATAGTAGAATGACTTAAAAACTAAAGACTATCACCCTAAATATTGAGATATATTTTGAAAAATCTTTTTTTATTTTTCTTTGAGAACAAATGGTCAACAGTTACTTTAAAACAAAGATGCGAAAGGGGTGCAGAGAAACTAGTGGAAATGGAATAAACAAAAATAATGAAGATGTTCACCTATCTTAAAGAATGAAGCAGATTTTACTGTACTTAGGTGTAAGATAACCAAGTTACAGTGCTATGTGATAAACAATGAAAGTGCATATTCAAATTTTTAAAAGTTTGATTGACATATAATTCACATGTCATACAGTTTAATAATTTAAACATATTAAAGAGTTGTACATTCATTATAATCAATTTTAGAACATCATCTCTTTCTTGCCCTTGTTATTATTAACTCCTCATTTCTTCCCAACATTCTCTGCCATAATCCCAAGAAACTATTCACACAGTTATAATCTCTCTTTAACCTGTCCTGGATTTTATATAAAGAAAAACATACAAAGCAAAACAAGAAAACAAAACAAAAACCACACAACAGTAACAAAATAATACAAAACCTTAGTTGGGAAGATAAGAGAAAATAATCAAAACTGGAATACTTTTAAAATGGGTCAAAAAGCAGAACAAATGATAAGAGGTTAAATATTAACCTAACTGGAATTCTCCTTAGCCCACTTTCTAAAGCACTTGTTCTACTAGTGAGGCTCTTCCATTGAGGGAATTCACTGGAGGCTTAATCTCAGTGGAGATGCCACAAATGGATTTTGACTTTTTACTGTCATCCATAGTTTTTTTTGCAAACTGAGTACTTAGACTTTAATAATGTTCCATTCTCTTGTCTTGTATTTTATTATCTATAATCTTTGGATCATACGGACTGGTGTGCTGCTTCTGGTTGCCTTAGATGTTACCTCACTTAGATGGCTGTTTCTTTAAAGACAATCCTGTAAGACCCCAGACACTATTCTTTCTTAGAGTATGCATCATCTGATTTATTTTAAAAAATTAATATATAACATATCATTCCATAATTCAATCACATCAAAAAGAATTGATTGCTGCCACAATCTGTTTCTGAAATTCTGTTTCTACATGGACTCCTTGACTTTTTTTCTAAACCACACTTTGCTGTAGCACTCATATCTTCAGTGACCTCTTCTTGAGGGCAAGTATCAAGCAGGATCACGTTATAATAACGAATGGTTCTTAGAGTAGGGTTACCATTCAGTTTGAGCTCAAAATCCATTTATGTATCCATGGTTTATATATATGTCCCTGGTCTACGTAACAGACACATTATCTTTTTATTGGGGAACATTGTAAGTCATCCCCATGGGGCATGTGGTAATTCCACTGATGAATGGTATTATTATTGACTTAATTTATTAATTTAATTAAATACTTTTATTGGGAGCTCTTGCATCTCCCATCACAATCCATACATTCATGCATTGTCAAGCACATTTATACATATGCTGCCATCATTTTCTTTTTTTCTTCACATTTTAATTTTTTATCATTGTACTTTAAAAGAAATAATTACAATGACTAATTTTTTTTATTCTTGTAACCTGAAAATAATTGATTGGTTAAAAATGACCAGAACAACAAAGCTGAGCATTATTGGCAGACGTCGAACATAAACCCAGTCCTGAATCCTCTGATTTATAAATATTTGAAATAGCTCTCCATCTGGTACCATTAGCACCAACAGGCCAGCCAACAGTCAAGGAATGAGACACTGACAGATAGCTAGGAGGGAGGAGCTGGGGGGGCCGCATGCTATGTTGGCTGTGGCTTTCTTTTTTTTTAACATTTTATTAGGGGCTCATACAACTGTTATCCCAATCCATACACACATCAATTGTGTAAAGCGCATTTGTACATCGTTTCTCAAAACATTTTCTCTCCATTTAAACCCTCGACATTAGGTCCTCATTTTTCCCCTCCCTCCCCGTTCCCCCCCCCCGGTGTGGCTTTCATTCAATCCACGTGGTTGTACTTTTAGACCTGGGTGCAGTACAGTCCACGGTCAGCTGGCGTTGGTAGAGCGCAGTGGTTGGGGCTCAGCCCTAGAGTCAAACAGCACTATTCTCACCCCCAAACTTCTTCTCAGCAGTCAGATGACTTCAGCTCTGCAAGCCCCCATTTTCTCACCCGTAAAGTAGCTTGTTGGCGGGAGAGATTGTATCTGAATAACTTGGTAAAAATAAATAAAGATAATGCCGTCCAGTACCGAGACAAAGTGAGGAAGAACAGGTCAAGGGTTAACTGTTGGCTCTGACTCCTAGCCACCCCATGTGGGTCAGGCAGAACTCTGCTCCACAAAGTTTTCAATCGTGAATTTTTTTAGAATTGTTTACCAGGCTCCTCTGGGAGGACTTGACAGCCAACATTTTGATTAACAGCCAAGCACTGAGAATTGTTAATTCTCTTTGAGTCCGAATCAGAACTGTAGCCGTAGGATTTTTAAAAACAGCTTTATTAGCACTTTATCCACATGTCATACAATTCAGTAATTGAATTATATCAAGAACAGTTGTACAATTACCACTACATTCAATTCTAGAACATTTTCTTACTTGTATTCATCACTATTCATGTAATTCCACAACTTCTACATGTATAATTTAGTGCCAATGATTATACTCTTCATGTATAACCATGATTGTAAAGCCATTATTGATATCCTTTTCCAAAGTATTCCACCACCATCATCATAAACTCAATGCCCCCTGAGCAACAAATCTTTCCCCTTCACTCGTGGTAACCATTGGTCAAGTTTGGTTTCTTTCCTTTTTTTTTCTTTTATTAAATACTTTTATGGAGGCTCTTACATCTCTTATCACAATCCATACATTCATCCACTGTGTCAAGCCTATTTGCACATATGCTGCCATCATTTTCAAAGCAGTTTCTTTCTACTTGAGCCCTTGGTATCAGCTCCTTATTTTTTGCCCCTCTGTCCCCCGCTTGCCCTCCCTCATGAACCCCTGATAAGTTATAGATTATTATTTTCATATCTTAACATCGTCCTCTGTTGCCCTTCATTTACTTTTCTGTTGCTCGTTCCCCTGGGAGGGGAATTATATGTTGATCTTTGGGCTGCTTCCCCTCACCCCCCCCTCGTGTGCACGCCTTCCCCTTATTCTCCTGATACCTCTATTTTCATTGTTGGCCCTGAGGGGTTTATCTATCCTGGATTCCCTGTGTTGCAGGCCCTTATTTGTAGCAGTGTGCATGTTCTGGTCCAATCCGACTTGTAAGGGAGAATTGAGGTCATGATCGTGGGGGGAAGGAAGCATTAAGGAACAAGAGGAAAGTTGTATGTTTCTTTGGTGCTATTCTATACCCTGACTGGCTCATCTCTTCCTTGTGACCCTTCTGAGGGGATATCAAGTTGTCTGCAGATGGGCTTTGGGTCTCCACGCACACCCCCCCTCCCCATGAATGGTATTATTAATGGTAACAGAATTTCAAATACTGTTTAGAAAAGGAAGATATGATTTTATGTGATATATATAATATGTATGGAACAAAAAACAAACTGAACACAATGGTTGCCTAATTAAGACTTTGTATTTGAATATTGAGGTCACAGTGATAATTCCATTTTATGCTGTCACATTTCATAACTGTTGAATACTATACATTTTCTCATATTATCTAATAAAAAGATAACAGCTACATTTTCAGAATGAAAACTAAAACATTTACTTTCTTTTTATACAACAGGCATATTTGATGAGACCTTCTATAATATTTTTTGATGAAATAGATGGATTAGCTCCGGTTCGCTCTAGCAGACAAGATCAAATTCACAGGTAATTTTTTCCAAGTTTGGTTATGTTGAAGTTTTGGTATTTAGTTCTTGCAGTAGCTAAGTGATATCAGAATTCTGAAGATGTAACCTGTGATCTCAAAAGTTTTTATTGAACATGATTGAATGAGAAAGAAGTAAGAAAAAGTTGTAAAGAGTTACTAAAAGTTCTGGAGATGAGAGAATGCTTGAAGAATATATTTCTCACAGAAAGTTTTTGGGGAGAAGTGGTATTCAAGCTTGAAATTGAGTAATGTATTTATTGAGTGACAGTTTGATATACATCGTTTTTTGGTTATGTTAAGAATTTAAAAGAAAAGGATTTAATAAATGAAATAAGCTACTAAATACACTTAATATAGAATTGGAAATAATGAATTCCAGTACTTAAATTTGAGAAAATATAACAAGTTGGGATATTTAAACACATCATCTACTGAAAACAGCTAAAAATCCCGGTTCGAAAGAAAAAAAATATTCTTTGATATATGGGTGAACTTGATGGGATAATTAAAAGATAAAGTTGAAGGAAAGAGATAATGTAGAGAGTGGTATCTCTAACTCCTTTTGCCTCCCTTGTATTATGCTGAACTTTGATGAGGAAGACCAAAAACAAAAGGCAAAGTGCTCAAATGTGCCTTGCCCTAACTGTGAAGGCTAATTAGAGACCCATCCATCCATACCAACAATTTTTGCTTGTAGGTGAAGGTGAACCAGAAGTATACTATTTATCTACTTGCCCCACTCCTCCCATCTGTATTCCACATTAGGGATTTGGGTGTAAAGTTGCCTTGTTGCTTTTTTGCGGAGCAAAGAAGAGGAGTAGGAAATGTCTGAGAAATCCTAATAACATGCCGGTTCAAATTTACCTTAAAATTGATTCTAAAACCTCAGCCTCTGAATTAAAATTTTGAGATTTAACATCTCTAAAGCATAGATTATCTCTCTGAAGAAAATAACTTTCATTGTAGGCATCAAATAACTCAAATGAATTTTCAAGAATTGAGCAAAACATAATTAGAAATTATGCAAGCACAGAAGTAAGCAAGGTACCACAGATGAGAAGCAGCAGAAACAGTTTCCATGGAAACTTTGGGTACTAGAATTTATAAAATTCACAATTTGTAAGCTAAGTATGCTTATTACGTTTAAAGAAATAACTTTTATGGTTTCTTATAAAACCGCCACTAGGAAATCTTTCATACTATGCCAGGAATTTGTAAAAATTCCACAAAATATTTTAGGTATGTAAAAATATAAAATGTTTAACAATAGAATAGGCACTGCTGAAAAGAGAAGTAGTAAACTGATAAGTCAGAAAATTTTATAATTATTAACACCATCTAAAAGATATAAAGTACACACAGTTATGAAATAAAAGATAGAATAAGTCAAACATACTTTTAGTTAGAATCCAAAGGCAGTATGAGAAGGGGTTAAAATGTGAATGTACATTTAACCCCTCAAATATGTATGATTTAATATAAATGGATTAAATATTTTTGTTAAAAGACAAGATTGTCAGACTAGCGACAAAAGTATGTGTTGTATTCAAGAGACATATCTATATAAGAATATAGAAAGGTCCCTGTAAATTCATGGGGGAATGGAAAAAAGTGAATCACAAAAAGTTCTTAAAATATTAATAACAGTATTATTCATAATAGCCCAACTGTGGAAACAACAGGTGAATAGATATCTTTAGGATGGAATATTATTCAGCCATGGAAGGGATTGAAGTTCTCGTATACTACTTGTGTACTATAATATGCACGATCCTTTTAAATATGTTAGGAGCCAGACATAAAAGGCCACATATAAGATTTTATTTATATGTAATAATCCGAACAGACAAATTCGTAAAATGATTGAAAAGGCATCAAGTGAATTCTACTAGAATAAAAGCTGGTATAGTTTCATTAACCTAGGCAAAATGAACTTTTTAAATTCAAAGCATTACTGTACCTATTTTTGTTAAAAGATGAAGATTGTCAGATTAGAGACAAAAGTATGTTATATTCAAGAGACACATCTACATATGAGAATATAGAAAGAATATAAACAAATTTAAAGCATTACTATACATATATTAAAGACGACCTCAAAGTGAAAATAGGTTTAATTTACTATAAAGTTAACAATTTTATATTTGTCATTTCCTATTAACTGAATTCCAGGTTATTCCAGAAAAGGACAAAACGGAAAAGTAGAAGAGTTAAATTGGCTATAAATCATGTATCTATCTCGAGAGTTTATAGTCTAAATTGATTAAAAAAGAAAAGTCAGTTAATGTTTTTTAGGCTACTTTAACAACCACTTAGAAATGTAATCTGTTTAGGCATACTTGCCTAGAACAACTACAGACTAGCGTCTTGTTTGAAACACAGCAACCCCTTGTGTTTCAGAGTCGAACTGTGTTCCAATGGGCTTTAAAGGGTGTGACGTTTGGGAAGCAGATCACTAGAAGTGGCTTCCCAGGTGCCTCTGCATGTTTTGTACTGCTTTCTTTTGTGTCGTAGTCAAGTGCTTGACAATTTGTGCTACTCGTGGGTCATATACAACATAAAAAAAAGGTCATAAATTTAGCCCTACAAAGTTGGTAATACACAAGCTACATGCAACAATGAAAAGCAGAGAATTTTGTTTGTAATTAAGAAATGTTGCCTCCTAATGTCTAAATGGAAGACTATACAGTAAAAGAAAAGTCTTAGCGAATTATGTCAAATGAACTGGAAACAGAACAGAAGTCATGAAAACCACAAGGTGGTTCTTTCAGATACTAATAAAAATGACAACATTGTAGCGTGGTGGGACATGATGAAAGAAAAAATCATTAAGTAATATTAGGAATGCAAAATAGAATGTTTCAGATTTTTATAGACATTAGGAGGTGAGAGCATATGATGTAACTTTAATGAATTGAATACATTAGAATGGACACATTTCTAGGAAAATACATGCAGTGAAATTTCCTTAAAATGGAAATCTGAGTATTTAACATTCAAAATATTGAATCAGTAGGCTAAAATTCTTTTCTAGAAAGAAGTTTTAACTAGAAGATTTTGCCAAGCATTAAAGAAATAAAATACCTCAATGTCCAAGAAAGATAAAAAGAGTGCACTTTTCAACTTATTTTATGAGGATAGCATCATCTTGGTAATCAAATATGTTAAGGATTCTCCAAAACCAATCAAATCAAAATACTGAATAGTATAAAAAGGATTAAACATTTGAGCAGTCACTTCACTGAAGAGAAGCACATGCTTAATATTAGTAGTCAGAGTCAATAGGAAATTAAAATCTGCAATGAAATACCATTATATACTTAGCAGAATGCTGAAAATTGGAAGCCTAACCATATCAAGTTTTGACAGTCATATGGGACAAATAGGAACTCTTCATATATGGCTGTATAGACTATAGCATGGTAGACTCTTAATTTGAAAACAAATTTTCTTATTTTTGAAAACAATTTTTGATAGTTACTTTAAAAAAGGTAAATGTACTCCTGACATGACTCTGCCTGTCCACTTCTATGTTTTTACCTTGAGAAATGAAAACATGAAATCCATAGCAAACATAGATGAACATTCATAACAGCTTCTTTTGTGGGAGAGGGCCACCAGATGTAGATAGATAAGCAAATTATGCTATATTCATATAACCGAGTGAAGAAGAAGGAGTTTTTATTACACCAACATTATTAATGAATCCCAAAATTATGTTGAGTAGGTAGATGTTGGTTCCTGAGGATGAAGTGGCGAGAGTGCAGAAGAGGAGAAGGGTGGCTTACAATAGCACTCGAGGAAACTTTCATCTGTGATAGATGTATTAATGATCTCAATTGTGATGATGGTTTTATGGGTATAGAAATCAAAATATATCAAATTATATACTTTAAATACTTTTTTGTTAGTATCAACTATCCTTTAATAAAAAGGAAATTGTTTGCCTTATGGATGTGGTTATAAAAATCTGAAACAAAATTATATCCAGGAAGTTATAAAAAATTAAATATGTCATAACTAAATTAATTTTGTTTCATATATAATTATTTAATGAATTAATCAATTTAAATGAAACTTACTATATTGTAGAAAAATCTTGATTCTCAGCAGGCATGGAAGAAATAATGTGATAAAATTCAATATCTTGTAAGATTCACATAGTATAAGACTTAAAAAGTTATACAGTTATCAATAAACTCAATCACCAACACCCTTAGTGTTGAAATATGAAAAATTCCCACCACCCCCCCACTCCCTTTAAAAAAATTTAACATTTATGGGACACATGGCAGGTACATTCCACATGTTTTTCTCTTCTAACTCTTTATTGTGAATTCAGTTCATCTGCTACGTTTTGAGTACTCAGAACATCCATGTTAGATAGATGGTCTTAGGCTCCGTTCCCCAGAGAAGCAAACCCAGGAAAGCCTATGTATGTATGTATGTATGTATGCATGCATGCATGCGTGCGTGTGTATGTATGTATGTATGTATGTACATATGTATGTATATATATATTGAGAGATTTTTTATAATATAGTAAGTTTCATTTACATTTATTTAATTCATTAAATAATTACATAGGAATTACATTTTTATATAAAGTAGAAAATTTATATAAAAATACATTTTTATATAAAGTATAAAATTTAGTCGTGATATATTTAATTTTAAAAATAAGTTTTCTATGCTTCAGGATGCTTATTCTCTCTCCCCACCCCTTTTATATCTAAGCACAATACTTAAGCTTTTTTTCCCCTCATTTGTAAATTTTGGGAATACAGCTAGAATAGTGTTTGAGATGGATAGCAATTCTATTAATATTTTGAACCTCTTAGAGAAGTTATGTCAGCTAAGTGTTTACAGTGAAAACAAAGATACAGAAGTGAGATTAGTTTCAAAATACAGGAAGACCCTTGTTCCTAGATGTAGAATTTGTTTTGTAGTTAGGAACGAGACAGTTGTGTTCATAAATGCTTAAATCATAGCAAAACAAAAGCTACTGTAAAAGGCACAAAGTGATTCTGAGTTAAGATTAGAAAGGTTATCACTCTAAGTAAATTGTCTAAAATTATAGTTGTAACGCAGACTTAATGATGACGTTGAACATCATCTAAATTTATAGGCATTAAAAACAAAAACCCGAAAACCAACCAACAAGATTCCTAATCTATTATAGCAGACTATAACAGTATTTTTACACAGGTAACGTGTGTTATATGGATTCATGCAAACTGCAGAATCCCCTCCTGTATTAGTCTCCTATACGTATGCAGTCTATTTAATTTTCACATGCGTTGTTGAGATACTGTTCACATGCCATATAATTTTACTCATTTAAACAGTACCATTTTATGGCATATGAGGAGGTACCCAAAAACAACTGGAAAAATGCTCTGCTGGGCGCAGCTTTCATAGTATGCATTTTTCCTGCTAAGTGAACATCCAGCAACTCTTGTTCTGAGTTAGTGCACTCAGTGGTCCGACCTGGGAGGGTTCTCTCTGGTCACAGTGAATTTTTTCATAAAGGCAGTTTTGCTTGAACCTCATTTTTTGTGATGGCCGATTTAAGAGAGCAGCACAGCTATAGATTTTGTTTCCTGCTTGGGAAAAATGCCGCAGACACTGTTGTGATGTTGAACACAGCTTACAAGGACAGCGCTATGGGAAAAACTTAAGTGTATAGGTGGTTTTCTTGTTTCAGAAAAGGTGAAATGTCTATTGATGACAGACCTTTTCTGGACATCCATCAACATGCCAAACGGATGAAAATGTCAACAAAATTTGTACACTTGTACTCGAAGACCGATTACAGAGATGGGGAAGTTATCTGGACTATCATGGAGTTGGATTTTTGTGGAAGATTTGGGACTGAGAAGGGTGGCATACCTTGGGTTCTGACTGACCAGAAAAAGAGCATCTACTGGAAATATGTCATGTTTTCAAGCAGCTTCGAAGTGACCCAGACTTTTTTCCCAAGGTGATTACTGGTGACCAGATATGGTACTGTTCTTACGACCCCGAAAGAGAACACCAATTTTGCCAGTGAAAATGCCATCATCACCTCTCCCCAAAAAAGCTTTTCAAATGAAATCAAAGAGAAGGCAATGCTCATTTGTTTGTTGTCATCGTTGTTGTTGTTGATGTGAGGGGGATAGTACATTTGGAGTTCATTCCAACAGGTCAGACTGTTAATTGAGCTTTCTAGTTAGAGGTTCTGAAAAGATTACATAACAGTGTGTGACAAAAAAGGCCCGACTTGTGGCAGACAGGACTGATTTTGCCACCATGACAATTGCAAAGCTCCTGTTCATGCAGCCATCTCATTGCGCCAGTTTTTGGCAAACGGCAGCATGCCTCTCCTTCCCCATGCATGTTACTCACCTGACACTCCATGTGACTTCTTTTTGTTTCTGTGAAGGAAGAGGGATATGAAAGGACAAATTTAATGACATAAAAGAGGTTTAGAAAAAAACCAAGGGAGGTGCTGCCAGCTATCCATAAACTGATGAGTTCAAACAAATGTTTATAAGAATGGAATCACATGATGAGCTGGTACCAATCCCAACTACGTGGACAGCCCCCCCACCCATCCTCGCACCCTCCAGAAGAATTTACTTCAGAGGACAGCACTGAAGCTACAGCTCAGAGAGAGGGACATGTCTGATCAGAGCACATGGGAGCAAGTGAAGGGGGAGGAAGAGAGAGTGTAGCACATCCTGGCCCACCTAGCCTTGGGGATGATATCCCTTCTCAGAGCAGCCAATGCACAGAGAAGACCATATGGCCAGCCTCACTTCGAGACATGACATCCTTCACTGACCCATAGCCCTATGGGGGACAACATTGGAGACACAGTGCAGGAGTTGCACCCGATCTGACCCCACCACACCAAGGCAAAACACTAAGGGTGTGTAACAGAACAGCAAGTGGAGCAGAAAAATGAAGTCCCCAGGAAATACCAAAAATAGACTTTGGGGCCAGGGCATGGCACCCCATCAGATTCAACCAGAACACACTCCTAAAGGTCAACAAACAGACCTTGAACTATTTATAGGCTTTTCTTACTTTTGTCATTGCTTTTTTGTTGTTTTGTTTTCTTTTGTGATTTTGATTTGCTCTATCTTGTTTTTTTGTACATATTATTATCTCTGTAGGTGTAGGTGAGATAGGCTGGATCCACAATCTGGAGGAGAAAACAACAGGACCGACCATTCCAGGGGGACATGGGACAAGGGGAGGACAGGGGAAAGGAAGTTGGTGCTAACCAACCCAGGAACCAGGGAACAACAAGTGATCCAAAAATCGATGGCGAGTAGGGTATAGGAGGCCTGATAGGGCTTGATCAAGGGCAGTATAACTGAGAGGAATTACTGAAACCTAAATGAAGACTGAGCATGATAGTGGGGCAAGAGGAAAGTAAAAGGAAATAGAGGAAAGAACTAGGAGGCAAAGGGCATTTAAAGAGGTGTAAATGCAGGCGTGTACATATGTAAATACATATGATGATGTGGAATTAGATCTATGTGCATATATTTATAGGTTTAGTATTAAGGTAGCAGATGGTCATTGGGCCTCTACTCATGTACTCCCTCAATGCAAGAACACTTTGTTCTATTAAACTGACATTCCATGATGCTCACCTTCCTGACATGATCACTGAAGACAAAGCGGGTGATAAGCAAATGTGGTGAAGCAAGCTGATGGTGCCTGGCTATCAAAAGATATAGCGTCTGGGGTCTTAAAGGCTTGGAGATAAACAAGCGGCCATCTAGCTCAGAAGCAACAAAGTCCACATGGAAGAAGCACACCAACCAGCCTGTGTGATCACGAGGTGTTGATGGGATCATGAATCGGGCATCAAAGAAAAAAAAAAATCTGTCATTGTGAATGGGGGAACACGGAATGGAGACCCAAAGCCCACCCGTAGGCAACTGGACATGCCCTTACAGAAGGGTTGCGGGGAGGAGAAGGGCTGGTCAGGGTGCAATGTAACCGTGATAAAACATACAACTTTCCTCTAGTTCTTTCATGCTTCTTCACTGCCGCCCCCATCATGATCCCAATTCTGCCTTACAAATCTGGCTAGACCAGAGGATGTACACTGGTACAGATAAGAACTGGAAACAGGGAATCCAAGACAGATGAATCCCTCAGGACCAATATTGAGAGTAGTGATACCAGGAGGGTGATACCAGAGTAGTGATACCAGGAGAGTAGTGATACCAAAAGTAGAGATACCAGAGGAAGGTGGGATAGAAAGGGGGAGCTGATCACGAGGATCTACATATAACCCATTCCCTGGCAGAAAAGTGTGTGAAGGGAGACGTCAAACAGTGTAAGATGTGACAAAATAATAACATAAATTATCAAGGGTTCATGAGGGAGGGGGTGTGGAGAGAGGGCGAAAATGAGCTGGTAGCAAGACCTCAAGTAGAAAGCAAATATTTTGATAATGATGATGGCAATAAATGTACAAATGTGCTTGACACGAGATTTATGTATGGATTGTGATGAGTTGTACGAGCCTCCAATAAAATGATTTTAAAAAGAAAAAAATGAGAAATCAGAGATTTGACAAATGTATTCAGTGTAATTGACAGTACTTTGATGTTTATAAGGTGGTTTTGTAAAACAATTTAAATACACAGCTTTGGAAAAAAACCCACCTGTTTTTTGGGGGGGTTTACCTCCTATAGTCAGAGTTATCCAACTATCATCATAACCTACTTTAGAACATTTTTATCACCCCAGAAGAAACCTACTAGACTTTAGCTGTTACTCTGTAGTCGTGCCATTTTCCCATACCTTTGGAAAGTACTAATCTATTCTCTGTTTTCATAGATTGCCCATTATTGGACATTTCATATAAATGGAATCATACACTATGTGGCCTTTTGTGTCTGGCTTCTTTCATTTAGGGCAATGTTTTCAAGGTACATCCTTGTTGCTGTATGTATCGGTACTTCATTCCTTTTGATTGCCAGATAGTATTTTATTATATAGACATACTAAGCTTTTTTCTCCTATTTGGGCTGATGCCAAATTATGGCTCTTAGAGATAATACTGCTTATAAACATCCATCTACAAGTTTTTGTGTGCATATATGTTTTCATTTCTCTTGGCTAATATACCTTAGAATGGAGTGCCTGGCAAATTGTTCTTCAAAGAAGCAAGACCATTTTATATCCCACAAGATGTTTAGAAGCATTTCCTACATTTCCATCAATACTTTATACTATTAGAATTTTTTATTTTATCTAAGAGTGCAAAGTGGTTTCTATTTGTATTTCACTGATGATAATGATGTCAAGCTTCATTTCACATGCTTATTCGCCGTTGGTATATCTTCCTTGGAAAAATGACAAGTTGGATTCTCTCTCTTTTTTATTGGATTATTTATCTGTTTTGTTCCTGCATTAGAAGTTCTTTATATGCTCTTGATGCTATATTCTCAGCAAGTAGATAATTACACATACTTTCTCTCATTCTGTAGGTTGTCAGGCATTAAAAGGCTTTTCTTATATTTGATAGTGCCTTCTGAAGTAGAAAAGTTTTTCATTTTGATGAGTTACATTTAATTATTATCGGTTTTCATTACTGTGATTTAGGTATTTATGAATGTTCTTTGAGTATATTTGAATATAAATTCTTTAAAGTTACTTAAACTTGCATTAAGGCATAATCATCCTATAATTACACTGTTAGCATTTAAGACTGATCTCACAAATTATTTTTTCCTTAATTAATTTTACCTGAAATCTTTGTTGTAGTTCTATAGTATCAACTCTCCTTGCCCTTATGGATGGATTAGATAATAGGGGCGAAATTGTTGTTATTGGTGCTACAAACAGACTTGATTCTATAGACCCTGCACTCAGGAGACCTGGTCGTTTTGACAGAGAATTCCTTTTTAACCTGCCTGATCAAAAGGTAAGAGCTTTTGTATATGGCATATTATACATTTATGTGAGAGTTGATTATGATGTACATGTGTACATTAAGGAAGTAGTTTATAGATTTTCATCTAAATTTGAGCTTATGGGTTATCTCAGTAAACATGCTTTAACCGACCCTTAAAATGTAGTGATTGATTAATATATTCTTTTTCTACTAATTGTTAAGATTTTTAATTTATGATTTTTAGGAAGTGGAACGTTCTTGCTTAGGTCACTATAGATGTTTAAAGTGCTTTGTTCTTTAGTTCTCCAGATTACATGGTATTGAATGGCCGGTCATGTGTCTGAGAAAGTGTACTTAACCAACGTGACTTTGTTCCCATATTTTTATAACATTATTAGTGAGTTTACAGTATCCAGATGTTCATAGTAATGACCAGAGCATAATATATAATTAGAAATAGCAAACACCATGCACGATAGTGTTAACGTTTTTAAAAGTGTATAATTGAAACATGACAGTATTTAGTGATTGATTATATAAAGTGTTATAAGATGTACAAGTTTTTCCCTCAGTTTTATGGAAATTTTTTGTTGGTTTCTGTTTGGCCAAATTAATCATTAGGTGAGTCCTACTCAGAACTCAAGTTTGAAGGGGAAAGAGGTTTATCGAGGAGATACTACATTTGAATGAATATATATATGCATTTTATTCCTTTAAGACTTGACTTGTCTCACTCTGTGAAAGAGTCAGTGATTGGGACGCAGAGAAGACTGTCAGGAAACCCAGGCAATGGCTTCCCTGCATAGAGTAGCAGTGCCTCATTTGATCTCAATTTGCAGAACCACCAGTAGTTGTCTCAGATTTGGATTGACAGTCTACTTTCAGGCTTTAAATTGCCACCAAGTTTAAGTAGCTTTGTCTGGATTGGAAATCTAGCATCCTCACCATCATTTTCTTTGCTTAATTGCAGTTTCTCAATACATAGAGGTGTGTCTCATTGTCAAAGACAAGGCTGAAGTGGGTGCAGTCTACTTCATATGGGGAACCATGAGCTATCTTGTGTGGGACATCTAATAATGGTCTAGGCACACTATTTAGGGTCTATCACTATATGGGGAGTGTGCTTAGTTTGAAGGGTACACAGCCAGCATTTATTTTAACATAGAAGGTGAGTGAATATTTTTGTGAAGAACCAATATTATTAAGCTGGTTTTTATGAGGGGCAAGTCAAAAACATATTCCTGCTTTCCAACTTCTTCCATTCTCTGACCCCAGTTGCCCTTCTTACGGCACTCATTCTCTCTGTTGAGTTAGGTAGTTCGTTGTAATAGTTTACAGAGCTCAGAGACTAAAGTTAAGGTTCTGTGATTTATTTGGGTAATAACATCTAGAAGTAACAGTACAGTGCAAATTCAGTGTGACCCTTGCAGTAGAGGATCTGCCTGTGCCTTCAAACTCCTCTGGCCAGACAGCACTTGGAGCAAAAATAGTATTCCCTGTCTTCTCCTGGAGGCCACTGCTACTACTTTTCTTGACCGGAAGCTGTTTTCTTTTCTTTTCTGATCTGCACCTGCCACTGCTTTCTGAGTACCACTTCTCTTGGAGCGCAGGTGCAGCTTCGCTTGGTGGACACCACTTACTGCCTATAGTCATGACAAGTGGCTCTGCTATTTACTGACGTAATTCTTTACCAGCTGTTGGGGGGGGGGGGGAGGGGAAGTTGGAGATGGGTGGGGCTCTGTAAGTAGCTTCTTTATCCTAAAAGGATGCGCTGTTCATTTTGACTCTTTGGCATTCAGGAAGTTCCAGAACTTCTGTGTGACATGGTTTTCATAAGCTGTTTCACATATTCTTTGGCAGGTCTTGTCCGTTACATTGTCAATTGGGTGTCAGGGGAGAAGGACTTACAGAGGATAAAGGTACAAATCTTCAGGGGTAGCCAACACTAGGAACTCTTGTTTTACCGAGAACTGGAGAATAAAGTTTGCATAAGGTGAATTCCATGCCCTGTAGAAAGCCATTGACTTGGTTTACAAAATGTCTTCTATATATCCTAGTTAATGTAGACTTTGGAGTATTTGCCAATTCTCAGCCGTCATAGTTTAAATATAGCCTGCAGCACTGGTTTTCAACGTGTGGGTCGTGGCCCCTTTGGGGGTTGAACAGATAGAATTCACCCAATTCATTACAGCAAAATGACAGTTATGAAGTAGCAATGAAAATATTTTTATTGTTGGGGGGGGGGTCACCACAACATGAGGAACTGTAATAAAAGGTCGCGGCATTAGGAAGATTGAGAACCACTGGTCTAAAGGGATTTAGGATTAAACAGGGTCTGGAATAGCAGTCTCCATGCAAATTATCTCTGAGGATATTAATGTTCGATATTTGCACTGTCCCTTGCTATTATGAATAGTGCTACAATCCAAGTCCTGATATTAATGGTATCCGCTGATTATAGATTTTTTTTTATTCTGGATTTTTATACATCAGTTTTTCTTTTTTGCTATTGAAGAAAAGGAAATTAAGTTGATAAAATATTGTTTGTTCTATACAGTCAGATTTTGGGTTTAAAGGATGCCATTTTGACAAACAAACAAACAAGCAAATTGCTTAAATTTTGTTTCATTGAGTTCAAATGTAGAATGAAATCCGCTTGTAAAATAGTAAATGCTAAAGAACCAACTTACAGGGTGTAATATTTTTTAACTTAACTGAATATATTTCAATTTAAATCTTTTGTTAAAAGTTTAAAATGACTTGTCCGTTTAGCTTGTAATTCCGTATGTAATTCCTAATTCCAGATGATAGTGCCCAATATTCTGTGACACCTAGATCAAAGTTTTATAAAAGTTATGAATATTATGCTGCTGCTGTTCGTTGCTGTCAAATGGACTCTAGCTTAGTGACACCCCGCGTCCATAGAAGGAAATCCTATACCAGCCTCACAATTGAGCCCATTGTTGCAACCAATGTGCCAGTCCATCTCCCTGAGAGTTTTACTCTTTTGAAATTTTTTTTGCATCCTCTAACTATAAAGTTGTACAAATATTTTGAATACAGTGAACCCTCGTCACTTCGCGCTTCTACTTCCGCGGCTTCACTCTATCGCGGTTTTTGCGTAACAGCGCATGCTCTGTCATTACTGCCACTGATTGGCTCATATTGTACACGCTTCTGTCTGCATCGCTACGTATCGGAGCTACGTATCAGATGCATTTTTGCTTTTGTACAGTGTACTGTAATTGTTTGCGATTTTTAAGAAATTTTATCTAAGCCCTATGATGGCTCCTAAACGAGCTGCTTCTTCTAAGCCTTCTGACAATAAAAATAAGCGCCAGAGGAAGATGCTCACCATCCAGGAAAAGGTAAAACTTTTGGATATGATCAAAGATGGCAAGAAAATCGTGGAGGTTGCACGCCATTGATTACAGTATTTGTAAGAACTATGTATAATAATACTGTATGTGAAATATGTAATACTGTAAACTAGATGCCATAAATAATATAATAAATGATAATTGTAACGTCCAAAATGTTGTACTGTATTTTCCCTTTTTCGTTTAATAAATTGGGTAATATGAGTGTAATGGTGACTAAAGGGTGTTTTTTCATGTCCTCTATGCTCTAACTACGAAAATATTTGATTTACAAATAAGGAATCCTACTTTGTGGAATTTCATTTATCACGGTAGGGTCTAGAACCGATTAACCGCGATAAACGAGGGTTCACTGTATTGCAACACATTAAAATTTCTAGAGCATATATTTTTAAATGGTAAAAGTGAAGTAGTAGAAAGGTGAAGTTTAGAATTGAGTTGTTGACCTAAATTATTTATTTTATTTAATTAAAAACATCTTTTTTATTAGGGTTCATACAACTCATCACAATCTATCCATACATCAATTGTGTAAAGCACATTTGTGCATTCATTGCCCTCATCATTCTCAAAACATTTGCTCTCCACTTAAACCCTTGGCATCAGCTCCTCATTTTTCCCCACCCTCCTTGCTCCCCACTCCCTCATGAACCCCTGATAATTTATAAGTTATTATTTTGTCATATCTTGCACTATTGTACATCTCCCTTCACCCACTTTTCTGTTGCAGTCCCCCAGGGATGAGGTTATATGTAGATCCTAGTAATTGGTTTCCCCTTTCCAACCCACCCTCCCTCTACCTTCCTGGTGCCGCTATTCTCACCACTTGTCCTGAATGGATCATCCACCCTGGATTCCCTGCATTTCCAGTTCCTATCTGTACCAGTGTACTTCCTCTGGTCTAGCCAGATTTATAATGTAGAATTGGGATCGTGATAGTGGGTGGGGAGAAAGCATTTAAGAGCTAGAGGAGAGTTGTATGTTTCATCGTTGCTACATGGCACCCTGACTGGCTCATCTCCTCCCCAAGACCCTTCTGTAAGGGGAGGTCCAGTGGCCTACAAATGGGCTTTGGGTCACCACTCTGTAGTGCCCTCCTCATTCACAATGATAAGACTTTTTGTTCTGATGATCCCTTCGACACCTCGTGATCACACAAGCTGGTGTGCTTCTTCCATGTGGGCTTTGTTGCTTCTGAGCTAGATGGCCGCTTGTTTTCCTTCAAGCCTTTAAGACCCCAGATGCCCTAAATTATTTATTTAATGTGCTAATAGTCAAGTTCTTTTCACCTCTCAGAAACTCAAATATCTTCGTTTGTAAAATTAGACAAAATCTATTATATATATATCATAGGATTATCATGCAAACAGATTTAATGTGAATGCCAAGATGTTTACATCTCCTTGATAATAAATAAACAACTTGCTTTCTAGAGTATGGTTAGTTAAAACTTGTTTGAGCTAATATATTTCAGTGATTGATGATACTTTGCTTATTTATACATTTCTTAGGCAAGAAAACACATTTTACAGATTCATACCAGGGACTGGAACCCGAAATTATCAGATACCTTTTTAGGCGAATTGGCTGAAAAGTGTGTTGGTGAGTGCTGCTATTTAAGTTCTTTTGGTGTTTACTCTGTTCAGCCTCCTTTTCCCCTTATGTTTGGAATGCGGATGAGTATAGGTATGTTTTTGGTTATGCAGATTGCTCTGACTTTAAGAAATATTTAAATTATTTCACTTGAAGTTTGAACACTTCCAAATTAATTTTAGCTCCTATACCTTTTATTGAGTACTTGCTATCCATAACATGTCATGAAAAGTATTAATATGCTATGCCTTGTCTCCTTTTTGGAATTTTCTCCTCTCAGAAATTTTACTAAGAAAAAAATTAGTTTAAACATGAGAATGGTCCATTTCAAAGGTAGAACGACTTTGCAGATTACATCATGGACTCATCTTAATGCTTGTGATCTAGATAGAATTTGGATATTCAAAGAACACACTAAATGGCAAATGCTATTCTTTCCCAAAATAAACAAAATACAAACCTTCCAATGCAATGTTTAGTTTTTCCCAGAGGGGAAACTCTCCCCACAGAGTGAATGAATACTACTGCCCTAGAAGGACATGAGTGAATTATACTTACAATGATGCTCATACCTACGGAGAAAAAACCCCACTGCTATCAAGTTGATCCTGACCCATAATAACACTATAGGACAAGGAGAACTGCCACTTTGGGTTTTCAAGATTTGAAATTGTGAATGGGAGTAGACAGCCTTCTTTGTCTCACAGAATGGCTGGTCAGTTGAACTGCTGACCTTGTGGTTAGTAGCTCAGCCACCAGGGCTCCCTCCTGACCATACATAGGAGATGGAATTAAAGACATTGGCTCTAATTAGGTCTGAAATAAAAATGGATACAATATTAAACTGAATGTAAATGGTTTCCTTTATTCTTTTTTCCCTTTCAGTCTCTCAGAGCTATAAATCAAAGTTTCTCTCCATGAACTTTAAGCATTATGTAGAATCTCCCAATAATCTACTAGCAATTAACAGTCTTCTTGGGAAAACTTTAAAGTTACCAAAACCAAAAAGAACAAATTAGTTTTAAAAATCATTGTGATCCACCATCAAATAATTAAAACTTAAATAGATTACATTAGTCCATTCAGTTAGCTACATCCGAATTATCCTCTTCATCCACAGGGACTTCCATCTCCGAAGCAGCATTCCTCAGCTTTTGAACCACAAAGAACTCGACATCTTCTGGTGAGGAGAAACCGTAAATCTCTCCAGCACTACTCCAGGTTAAGCTTTGCCTGGTATAAGAGAGCATGCGCCAAACCCATTTCATGTAAATTTGGCTTGACCTTTGCAAAGCCTGTGCTGCTTTACGGGAGAGGGTGGTATTTGGTATAAAAATCCAGTCTTTTCACCCATTCAAATTGAACACTTTTGTCTCTTGCTAGTTTTATTAGTTTAATTAATGTGTTAGAGTGGGAAATTCTGGTAGGTTTTTCTGTGTATTTGACACAGAATGATCCTAAACTGACAGAACAATAATTTTGAAGTTCCCTAAAAGACAGATATTTAAAAATTACCATAACCCTAACATCTGAAATATTACACACTCTTAATTTACTTCTTCACCCCAAATAGTAGGGTCTTACTTTCCTTTTGCATTTCCTAAAGCCAATTCTTCTTTCTCCAAGATGTATTTTAGCTTTTAGTAATTTTCTTAAGCTTTTGAATTCTTAAGAACAGTCTTGCAGAGCTGAAAATATCTCTTGCCTTTGTGGGAGGGATTACAGTTACTTCCGTTTTTGGTCATGACATATGCTCCATTTAAGATATCAGTTCCTATTTAAAAAGGTAAATTTATATTTCCAAACAGGAGTAAAATAGTTAAACACTTAAATCTGTTATAAACTAATCAGTTTATGAATCTCAAATATGTTTTAACATGTTTGGGTGCATTTCAGTGAAATGTATACTGAATAAAAAGTATACAGTCTGGATGAAAACTACAAGGATAACCTCTCCTCAGAGGCTATGGGTTGGGTAACTTTTATCTTGAAAAAATTCCCAAGCACTTAAAGGTCTTGCAGTTACAATAGATGTGATTCTCAAATAGTGAAAAATTACTCTTATGACATACTATGTTAACATTGATAATCTGGAACATTTACACAGATAGTAGGTGCTTAAGGTTAATGTGGAGCTCAGACTTGCTCATTTTTCTATATTCCATTTTTCACTTGCACTGTAAATGTAACTATGAAAAAATGTCAATAATGAAGTTTCTATCATGTGGGTCTTTAATAAGCTTGATATTATACTTAAAGAATAACTTAGTAAAATTTTGTTGTGACTTTTTTTCTCATTCAGTCTCTGAATATAGGTGTTATTTTTAGTCTTTCAGAAGAAAACATCTATGGTTATATATTTTAATTCTGATTTAAAGTCTAGTAAAGGAAGTAATTGTATTCTACAATACTTCAAAAGTTTTTTTTGTGAGCATTACTTGTAATTAGAGGTCCTGAGTCACTGAGTCTGTCTGAGGGCCTGGGCATTGTTACTTACCGCATTGCCGTTCGTACTCGTGTATAAGCCGAGTTTTCCAGCACATTTTAAATGCAGTTTTTGTGGTGAAGTCAGGTGCCTTGGCTGATATTCGGGTCGTCTTATACTCGAGTATATATGGTAAGTTACATTGTTTATTCTGATGAATATTCAACATTGGAAACCACAGAGATAAACTAGTAATTCTCATAAGGAACTGCACAGATGCGCCTGTTGACTCGTCTATGTAGAAAATATTTTTCCCAATGGTGGGCTATTGTGAATAAGCTTTCTTTTTTTTAATAATTTTATTAGGGGCTCATACAACTCTTATCACAATCCATACACACATTAATTGTGTAAAGCGCATTTGTACATTCATTGCCCTCATCATTCTCAAAACATTTCCTCTCCACTTAAGCCCCTGGCATTAGGTCCTCACCCCCACCCCCGCTTCCCTCTCCCTCATGAGCCCTTACTAATTTATAAATTGTTATTTTGTCATATCTTGCCCTGTCCGACGTCTCCCTTCACCCCCTTTTCTGTTGTCCGTCCCCCAGGGAGGAGGTCACATATAGTTCCTTGTAATCGGTTCCCTCTTTCCTACCCATTCTCCCTCTACCCTCCCA